GACCCTCCAATGGGTTTTCAGAGGCAATAAATGTCATGGGAGGAGACTGCCCAACTCTCCTCACATGGAGCAGCTGGTGGCTTCAAACAATGTGCCTTTGGGTTGCCAGCACAGCTCCTTACTGCTAGGTTACCCTCTTTAGTACAAGTGAAAAAAATCATCAAGTCATAGTATGGGGTTTTTTTTACAAAATATATTATTAAAGAAGAAAAAAAGACCTCTATCTCCAGGTAATACGTGCTCCATTTTTTCACTAATACCTTACTCAAAAAACTCATTGCCACCAAGCCAGAACCAATTCATACCTGATTTTCCAGGTGGGTTTTCTTTCTCCCATGAACCACCTAGTGGATTTGAGCCATCAGCCTTTGGGTTGATACATAATTCCTCAATCATTAGGCTACTTGAGTTCTCTAATAACTAGATAGAAGTATGTTCCTTTTGGTCTTTATGAAAGAAATATGAGTGCTAGTTTATGCATTCAATTAGAATAATTAAAGCTTCAGAATTTTTCCTCCAATAGGATCTGTATTTTTAAAATATATTATTTTTATATTCCTCATTTTTTGTAGCAAAATTGACAAAACATTTGTCAATTCCACATTTACATGTACAATTCCATGATATTTATTACATTTACCATGTTGTGCAATCAAATTATTCCACCACCATTAACAAAAGTCAGGGTTCAATAGGGATCATATGGTATCTGTCCTTTGGTGTCTTACTTATTCCACTCAGTATAATATATTCAAGGTTCATGCATGCTGTAACATGTGTCAGTCCATCACTTCTCTCTATGGTTGAGTAAGATTCAACTCTTTAATGACATACTATATTTTGTTTATTATTTATCACTGATGGATATTTAGGTTGTTTCTACCTTTCAGCAATTATAAGTAGTGCTTAAATGAACACTGGTACACATGTTACGGTTTGTGTTTTTGCTTCCAATTCTTTTCAGTTATATACTCAGGGGTCTAGAATTGGAATTATTTGTATCATACTTTAAAAAAAACGATTTTGTAAAAACATCACAGAATATTTTTATAACAAATGACAGTCTCACATTGCATAATTTTATTTCTAACAGAGCAGTAATAACAGACATAGAACACCATTTTTGGAGGTTATGGACATTGGTTTTTAAAAACCTCCAAAGTTAGTGATTTAATTCGAACACTGTCACCATCTTCTAACTCAATATACAAGTGAAAAATGAATGTTCTACAGTTAGCGAACAGAAAACTATATGTAATATGTTGTTATTGTTGATTGTCATCAAGTTGAGCACAACATATAGCAACCCTATGAACAAAGGCCTGAAGCTTTTTCCATAAAGCATAACTGTTAACCTTTCAAAAATATAAATTCTATCTTTGTGACCTAGCAAAAACTAACAGTTCTCTATTACTAATCATTATGTTAGTTATATATTATTATTTATATATTAATAAGTAACTATTCAAGGACTTTTTGGCTTAATTTTGTTTTAATGCTTGAAAAGACAGAAATGTCTTTGTCAAATGTTCACAGATGGTCAATAACATGAATAAAAAGATATTTGGTTTAGAGTCTTTAAACATTAAAAAACACCCATATATATTTTTGCCTATGGAAAACTGTATTTGCCCTACTGTTGGCACCTTTATTTTCCTTTCCTAGAAAATGATGCAATCACTCCAAAATTTCTAAAAATATAAGTACTGAGATTTCCTTCTGATCCTTTTAAAATACAGAATACAGCAAAAGGAATTCATTACTAACATCAGAATATGAAAATTCTTTTTTCTATTTATTTATTTTTATTTATAAGATACCTTTGTCAGAATATTATTTTTTAAAGAAAACATAAAATTTTTTTTTCTTCCATTTGCCAATCTTCAAAATTAAGATTTACAGTGATTGGTAGAAAATTTCTTGACATAGCTATTAAATTCCAAACAGGAGCAACTTTTATTTATTAGAATATAAAACATACTAGATACTTTCTGTAAGAAATTTCTTCTTTAACAATTGAGATCTCAAAAAAAAATTGAGATCTCTTTTTTTTTTCAATAAGTGTTCTATTCTTAAAATCGTTGCTGGAATTTTTTCCTTAAAATTAAAAATCAATAGGCTGTTTTAAATGGACACACACAGAGTATACTGTGCCAAGACTGGACAAATTTTTTTCTGTTGTTACTCGTAATCTTTGAATATTTCTAATGCTACCGTCTGGCTGCCACCTGCTTGCTGCTCATATAAAATATCATATAAAAGTAGGATTTCACAGTTCTCAAAAATCCAGCAAAGTTTTATCTCAGAGGTTTAAATCCAGAAGATTAAAAAAATAAACTAGGAATAATTAGAAATAATGCTTCCAGGTCATTTTCCTAAGGGTAATCGAGTCTAATTTATTGGCAAGAGTCCAATGGCTGTGGGCTAGTATGTCTTTAAAAGTTCTGCTGCCCTCTTCCATCAGATGCTCTGCCGGGTGAAGGAGGGACAATCTCCTCCTGTATCAGTCAGATCTGATTTGATGGTATACTTACACAAAAATAATAAAATAAAATAAAAAATTTTTAAAAAAAAGTTCTGCTGCCCTCTTACTCTCCTTTTCTGCTAACAGCATACTGTAAGATCTGGTTTTATTCCTGTCTTTCCAAGGTCCTTTCACCCTCTTCCCTCTTCTTTCTTGTCACTTTAACTCTTTTTCATGGCTCACCTTACACTAGTTATGTCTTAACTGCATTAGTAAATCTTTTCCACTTGTTTTGCTTTAAAAAAAAATCTAAAGAATGTATTCAGGGGGAAAAAAATACTCTGCCTTGGGATGTTCAAAATCTTGATTCTCCCACTGATGCTGTCTTCTAATAAAAGTATAGTTATGGAAACAAAGAAAGTCAGTAAATAGGAAAAGAAACTACAAAAAATATCTTGGAGCTCAGTTAACATATTTTACATCTATAATAAGAAAATCCTCAATAAAAGCCTTAAGGACCACAGGTCAGGAAGGACACTCAACCATGAGTTCCTTACCTTTTGACTAACAAAAAAAAAAAAGGTTTTGTTTTATACGTAGAAAAATCATAAAAAAATTACTCCAAAACAATGAATTCAAGAAATGTGTTCTATATACTTTCAGAAAACATACAAATCTGGACAATCTAGATACTCATAAGCTTTATGACAGTAAAAATGCTTAATTAAAACCATGTAATAATCTCATAAAATATGCAAATTTTTAAATTTAAAAAATAAGGGCTTTTTTTCAGACATTCTACAGAACGGTTCATTAGTTTACATTAAAATGTTTATCTTTAATTAAATTAAAATTATAATATAAAATTTTTAACTTTAACATAATAAAAATTTAAAGTTACATTGCTAGAGTGAATAGTTTATCTTTTCAAAAATGAGGTTCTATAAAATAATAGGAAATTAAGCACAACCTAAAATTAGAGTTAAGGCTTAGCTCATTGCAAATCATGTATGTCTCTAAATATGTCTATCCCATTACACGATAGAGGCCAAATCAGGCTTTGTTCTAGGAAAATTTTCTTTGTTTTAGGAAAATTTCCAACTCTTATTTTGATAATGAGACCATCAATCAGCTAAGGTTTGGGGAATATCAGCAATTTGTAGTCTAGAAAATTCCTCAGGAAAAATTCCATTAATTGCCTCATAATAATTTGTTTATTAGTCAATCAGAAAAATGTAAGCCTAGTTGTCAACAAATACTTAAAATGAATAGGCTAGGTCTTAGAAATCATATTATGATACTATGAAAATTAATATTCTCAAAAGGAGATGATCCAGTTATGACTAAAACCCTCTCCATTACTCCCTTACCTCTTAGATACTCTGTGCTGTGCTGTGGTCTGTTGTCCAGTCTCGGTTTCTTGTCTTGTATGTCGTCTTCTCTACAAAAAAAAAAAAAAAAAAAGAGAAAGGACGAGGACTTACTCCAGTAGCAGGCAATTCTTATTGTGGTGGTTGTTCATATAGTTTTGTTTTGCCAAGCCACAGGTGATTGGAAGGGTTCAGATTGGTTTGGATAGTAGGCAATGGTTTCAAATCATCAAAAACATTTAGAAAGTCGGCAATAAACATAAGCCACTTTCAAATCAAGAGAAAAATGAGCTGACAGACTTTTGTTGTGGATTGTCCTTTCACTTTTAAAAAAAAAATCATTCGATGCTGTATGTAAATGGTTTCTAGCACTGGGTTTCACAGGGACTTTCTCAAAATCTAGAAGTTTTTAATCTAGAACTTTAATTTTCTTTAAGTTGTGTGAAAAAAGAGTAACTAGCAGTCTCCTTAAAGTCATTTTAAAAACTCACTGAGATGAAGTTGTTTTTACATTTATCTAGAGAAGTAAAAGGCAACCAAGCTCCTAATTAATAGCATTTGGGAAACTGAGCTCAGAAGCGTAGTAACTCTATCCTTTTCACTGCCAAATTTTAAGTTAACAAGGGTGGTTGGTGTTTTTGTTTTTTGGGTTTTCTTCACTTAAAAAGAAAATTCAACAAAGACAGACGACTCCATAATAACAACAGTATTTTATAAAATACAGAAACAAATGCCAATACAATCACCATGAAGAATTCACTGCAGCATTTATAAATGTGCTAAAATGACATAAACACAGATGGCTCCCAGATTAATCCAGGGTAATTTCCCCTCCTTTTTCTCATACTTTGGCAAGGAAAAGGATAAAAAACCCCAATTTATCAGGTGGTTTCCAGGCTGATTGGTATCTGATCTAATGAAAAAGTCAAAGTAGTGTATTAATTCTCTAAAAACAACAGGCCAATTAATGGTAAAAATAGAACCTCTAGTTAAAGGGAAAGCCCTGTGAAACGCAAAGCAGTTGATCCATGCGGATGTAAACAGAGTGGTGACTTGAGCTGGAGACTGAAAATGACCTACTTGTCTTAAATGACTAATAAATAATTCCTGTAAGATGTACAAAACACTCATTAGAGGGCAAAATATGCAGCATACACATCTCTTACCTTTTGCTAATTCTGTAATGTACCGTCTCCAAGTCTCCTGTTATTGGGTTTGAAATGGTGGCTCGCCTCAGCTGTGAAGCCAACCATCAAAATACTTGCATTACAAAACAAAAAAAAATTAACCACATTTATCCAACCAGTCAGAATTTGGGACATCTTACAAAGAAAGCTGAAAAGAGAAAATAACTCCATATACTTCCAGTCACCTGGTGCTGAGCCTTGAAACCAAATGGATTTTTAGGGCTTTGTATTTAGAGGGAAACAAATAAAATATCAATTTGTTTTTGTTTTGATGTGATGGCAGGAAAAGTAAAAAAGAATGGAAATTTTTCTCCCTACGAGTTTGAGAATGTGCTACTAAGAAAGATAAATATTTAAAGTTAGAAGTCTAATTTATAGTTATAATAATGGCTATTTGCAGTTAATTACCCATTACAAAACCTTTTAAGTTCTTAGTGAATAAACTATTTGCAGGATTAATGTTACATGAAATTCATTATAAGGTCACTCTTTTTCTTCTTCAGTAACATACTTTTGTGACATAATTTTGGATGAAGCACAAAGACAGATGGAGGAAAAACATAAAAAGATGGCTTTAAAAACAAAGAGATGGAAAAAAAATTAAAAAAAATAAAAAAAAACAAAGAGATGACAACCAAGATAATGCATTTAAAATGTCTTTAAAAAATGGAAAGAGAATTCAGAAGTTAACAAGAGGGTATGGAATTTTAAGTTGAATTTCTTGATCACAATCAGCTCAAACTGAGGTATTTGTAAACTGAACTGCAAAGCCTAACTATGACTTGATCTCCAAGCTGAAGTAAATTCTTAATGACTATTCTACCAAAACATTTTGATTTATGGAGTTTATTCACCACAACTAATGGACTACAAAAGAAATCAAAGAAAGAATAGCAAAATATGATTTCATCACAATGGCATAAAAAATATTATGCCAGTATTTTTCATTTTATAATCATTTGTTTAGTTTAAAATATTTTTTGAAGTATCAATTTGGAAAAGTACTATCATTTAATCAACAGTAACAATAAAAATATAGTTTTATTTTGTAGTACAGATCACCAGATAACTCCATTTTTATGCTATAACAAATGTGAACAAACTACAGCCCATATACCAAATTCAGCCCTCTTTCTGGTTTTTTTTGTAAATATAGTTTTATTACAGTATTGCACCTCTCCTTTATATGTGTATTGTATATTGTTGCTTGTGCACAACTACAAAGATGAACAGTTATAACAGAGACTATTATGATCGGCAAAGACAAAAAAATATTTCCTAAAAAAGAAATTTAATATTTTAATCTTTGCAGAAAGCATTTTCAGATCAGGTGTAATAAAAGAGCAAATATACCTCAACTTTATTTTATAATTTCCTTATAAAAGTAATAATAGTTTGTACTTTACTATCAATAAGACTAACTATACCACAGACCACCAAGAAAGCAAATAGGTCTGTCCCGGAGAGCGTGAAATCAAGTTTCTCCTTGGAAGCTAGGATTTTGAAGCTTCGTCTCGCATACTTTGGGCACAGGGCCAGGAGGGACCAGTCCCTGAAGAAGGACATCATGCTCAGAAGGGTGGAGGGTGCACAAGAGAGGAAGACCTCAGATGAGATGGACTGATACAGTAACTGGGGAACTGGGGCTAGATGTGTCGGAGTCAGTGACACTGGCTCAGGACAGGGCAAGCTTCAGAGCTTTTGTACATAGGGTCACTATGAGTCGAAGGCGACTCAACAGCACATAACAACAACAACAACAATATGCTTTAAGACCAAGTATGTTAAGAAAACAGACAAGAACACAGAGGGTATGTTTTCACTCATTTTCATAGATGAGGAATTTCCATGGCAAACACAGTTTACGCAATTGCATTTACATTAAGTTCTTTTTGTTGTTAAGATAACTGGCATGGGTAAAAGTTAGAAAACTATCAAATAAACATTTCAACTTAGCATAATTCTTTAGTCACATTATTCTAACTTTCTACTGTACCTGAAAGGGATTAAAATACTTCGAGTGTTCTTTTAGAGAAAAAGCAATCATGAAAAAGGCAGGTTTTGGTTAGTCTGAGACTCCGAAATACACATATTAAAGTGTTTGGGATGAGACTGAAGTAAAGACTTAAGTGTAACCTAAATTTCATCTATAATTTTCGTGAATTAAGTACTTAAAACCCAGTTACTAAATGAGTGCTGATAATATACTTCTAAGAAAAGCGGGCATTTTGTAACCAACTCTATTCAACTGATGTAATAATTTCTAAAACTAATTTCTAAATCTATCTGTGGAGTTACTGTCATATCAATAATCATTTCTATAATTTCAAAAGGCAAAAATCTGTTATGTAAGTTCAATAAACAGAAGAAAAAAGTTATTTACCCTTGGTTTTGCTAGATCTTTAACAATTTCAATTTCTGCATCAGAAATAATATCATGGAAGCGCACAATGCGTGGCTTGTCCCATTCATCCTCCTGTTTGGCTGGGGCAAGAATAAATTTAGGATTCCGGTTTCCATCATGGTAGCGGCAAAAGAGCTTTTTCTGCCTCCGAGGAGTCTAAACATGAAGTTAAGAAAAATTAATATGCTAAAGCAATTATTATTTTTAATACTTGTTACTAATCAGATGAGAAAACAATAATCATGATCCTATATGCATCAAGTATCTCTGGAAGAATACACAAACGAAACTGTATACTGTAGATTTTACATTAAATTGTGCCTCATAGATTTTTTCCATTTTGTTAAGAATTATCTTTTAATTATATAGTCACTAGCCTGCACCAATAGTAATAACAATAATATATTAATAACTACATAGACATAGCTGAAAGGTGTTGAAAGAAGGAGACTATGTCCACAAAAACAAATAGGGTTTGACAGAGGATATTTCTTTTTTTTTTTGGCTTGATACTATGTTTATTTATTTTTTTAATTATTAAATTTTATTAATTTTAATGAACATTTACAGAGATTTGTGGTTTCCATTCATTCATTGTTGCACTATTATCTCTACCCTCCTCCCCAGGTTGTTCTTCTCACCCCCCTCCCCCGCCAAAGCCTGTTTTAATTGTCCATTTGCCACAGTGATTGTCAAAGCCAGTTCTGATTAATCTCCTTTGTCAGTGTGTCCTTTGCCATTTCCTATCACTCCTCCCTGAGAGAGACTTCACCCTGATTCATAAGGAAAAGGGGATGGCCTTCCTGCTGAAAAGGGACGCTGTGGGTTTCAGGGTGAAGATCTTCTCTCACTACTCTAAAGGGCCCCTTTGGCAGTAGGAAACACATAGACTATTATGGAGATTGATTTTGGAATGTAGATGCACTGTTATCAATTGTGCTTAGCCGTACATGTTCATATCCTTGAAGATGTATCATGGAAGTGTTGCAGCCTAGAAGATACAAATTTAACTAACAAGTTAAAAGTACATGGGTCAAAAATTAAAAAGCATTAATATTCCAAGTAGAGGCTCTAATAGTGGCACAAATCAAGTTACAGAGGGAAGGTAGTTCTTACAATAAAAGGCCTATTGACTAGCACTTTGTCTATTATAGTATAAAGGTTAGGAAACACAAAATGTAGATGGATGTATTTATAAAGACTGCAAATATATCCTTGAATACACAAGAGGAAACAGGGAGAAAAGTTATGAAATTTGTAGTAGTAACCAAACATTTCAAAGGAGCAAGTCACTGAGGCTGAGGTTCAGGGTCACGGTCTCCAGGGAGATGAAGGTCAACTCACCTAAGACAGTGCACAAAGAAAATGTTCTATATCCTACTGTGCTGAGTAGTGTGAGGTCTTTAAAAGCTTTTGAGTAGCCATCTAAGCTGTGACTACTAGCCTCTCCCTCTCTAGAGCAAAGAGTAAAGAAAATCAAAGAAACAGGAATACATTTAGTCCAAAGGCCAAATGCACCATATAAACCTACAACTTTGGGACCAGAATCACCAGATGGTGCCTGCCTATCACTACTAGCCACTTTATAGGAACCACAGAAGGTCCTGGACAGAAGATGGGAAAAGAACAAAATTCAAAATCTACTGGTCTGACAGAGATATAGCTATGACCTTTGGTCACCTGTCTGTCCTGGAAATGAACTCACTCTGATAGCTCAATTTTCAGCCAAACACTAGATAGGTCTATAAAGCAAATACAATACCAGGGAGGTAAGAACTCTTTAAAACAATCAACTATCTTAGATCAAAAGGGTAGGCAGCATTTGTCCAAGAACAAAATTTCAGAAGACAGGAAGGGTTATAGGAAAGAAGAAATGAAAACAGGAGACAGAGAAGGAATGGGACGAGTGATGTTACACTGTACAGATTAATCAGTGTCATGTACACACAAAAAGTGTACAAACAAAAAGTGTACAAACTGTTAAATGAAAAAAAATCATGTGCTCTATAACTTTCACCCTCCAAAAGACCAAAGCTCAGTGCCATCAAGGCCAGTCCCAACTCATCTTGGGTTTCCAAGGCTGTAAATCATGAACGGAAGAGGCTATCCATCTTTCACCCATGCAGCAGCTAGTAGATTCGAATCACTATCTTTCTGGTAGTTGTTGTTGTGTGCCAAATCAGAACTGACTCACAGCTGACCTTCCAGTGGCTTTTGAGAGGCAAAAAATTACATTGGAGGAGGCTGCCTATCCTGCCACAGAGCCCCTGATGGATTCAAATTGTGTGCCTTAGGGATGGCAATGCAGCTTCTTACCATTAGGCCATCAGAGCCCCCTAATCTTTTGATTAGTAGCACAGTATGTTATACATGTATCACCAGGGGTATTTTTCACCCAAATTATAAATGGAAAAATGATGCACTCATTTTCCACATACAAAGGTTTCCACTGGGTAAACCTTTACCCAATTCACACACATACATAAATTTATTTTCTGAGGGAGATATAGGTTATAATAATAAAAAAGAGACAAAAATAGGCTTTTTAATCCTTTCATTATGTGAAAGAAACAAGGAAATCATCATGGAATTAAGAAATAAATGTTCAGCATTGTCCTAAATTTCACAAAGTTGCTGAGAACTAAACAGAGATAGTTTCCAAAAGCAAAAAGTAATAATGATAAAATAAAAACATAACCAGGTTTTTCTAAATATTGCTTGTGGGGGAGAATTTTTTTTAAAGAGCAAAGATGAAAATGAAAGAGAAAACTACACCACAACAAAATAAGGGTAAACAATCCAACTGAAAAACGGTCACAGGATATGAACAGACACTTCACCAAAGAAGACATTTAGATGGCCAACAGCACATGAAGAAATGTTCAAAATCCCTAATCTAAGAGAAATGCAAATCAAAACAACTACGCGATATCATCTCACCCCGGTCAGAATAGCAAAATTTAACAGAACAGCAAGCAACAAATGCTGGTGAATTTGTGGAGAAACTGGAACCCTTATTCACTGTTGGTGGGAGTGTAAATTGGTACAACCACTGTGGAAGGCAGTGTGGCACTTTCTCAAACAGTTGCAAATAGAAATACCATTTGGCCCAGCAATTGCACAACCATGTTTATCGCGGCTTTTTCACGATAGCAAAGAGTTGGAAACAACCTAAGTGCCCATCAACAACGAATGGATAGAGAAACTGTGGTATATTCACACAATGGAATACTATGCTGCACTGAAAAACAAGGAACTCATGAAATATTATTTAAAATTAGTGAACCTGGAGGACAGTATGATGAGTGAAATATCTCAGTCACAATGGGACAAATACTGCATAGTGACACTGTTGTAAAACAGGACTGACATCAGGGTTGGGGGGAGACTGAGAAATATGGGTTCAAGGGAGAAAAGTGCAACAATGAATGAATGGAAATCCAAAGTCTCTTGTAAATTTTCACTAAAATTAATAAAAAAAGATTTTTAAAAAGCTTTAAAATTAATGAATTGATAAAAACCGAATGTGTAAATGCATTATTTATCTTTTATTTCTGCACCAATACTATAGCTGAATTTTATTTATTGTAATGTTTTCTTCAATACTGTTTCAGAGATTAAAAAAAAAGAAAGAAAATTAAGTTACTAAGAGAATCAGGTCTTTTAATTAGGGTCCCAAAGATAACACCATTAACAAGTAGTATTATTTTCTTCAACTATCTATGTATTGCAAGGAGGAGTGGCATCCACTTCCCTAATAGCTTACCTCCAGAATCCCTATGAACCTGGAGAGAGGATGAAAGGCACCCAAGCATCGAGGACTCTCCTTCATAGGGATGCTATGAGTCACCTGCGACTCGACGGCACTTAACAACAACAACATCATCTATGTATTATATCAGCTAACTAAGGGAGCTCTGGTGGCTTAGTGCAGAACTGCACTGCCAACAGTAAAGCACACAGTTTGAATCCACCAGCTGCTATGCAGGGAAAAAAGATGGGGAATCTCCTCCCATGAAATTTCCTGCCTCTGAAAACCCACTGAGGGTCAGCTATTATTAACTAAATTTTTCATTGATGATTATTCTCCACATTTACATAATCATGCATAGAGTATGAGTAATATTAGTTTGGATTTTAATTATTAGAAAACATACTGAAACAATTAACAATTTGCCATGTACTTTATTCTCTATGTAATTTATTTACTTAACATAAAATCCATGGCTCTATATTTAAAAAGTCTTTTACATGATGATGAAATAAATCTGAAGGGAGAAAAAGACATTTTTCAATTTTCAACAGAACTAACAAATTAGCAAGCTTTGTACTTGTAGTTCTATTTATCTAACAGTTACTCTCTTCTTTAAGAGCTATTAAAACTAAAAAAACTCATCGCTGTCGGGTGGGAATCAACTCATAGCTGGTACTACAAGTGAGTTTCTGAGGCTATAACCTGCACAGATATTTCCCATGTTCCTCACTCAGAGCTATCAGTGGATCCAAACCATGAGGAAGAAACAGCCATTAGGTTAGCACCACCACTCCCTGCTTACTGTTAAAAACTGGGTAATTTTTTTAGGTGTGAAAGTGATATTTTGGTAATTTTTTTGGACTTTATATTAAGAAGCTACATATTGAAATTTTTTTAAAGTCTAAGAAAGTGGTACTATCCTTATATTTATTTACTATGATTAGCTCACAAAGCAAAAGCAAGTATGTCTCTCCAACACTTCGTGAATCCCAGTTATCAAAAGTATCAACAACATCTACTTAGTAGTTTTCAGACTTCAGTTATCAGTGTCAAAGCATAAAGCTCAGCTGAAGTTTATTGGTAGTATGTTGTTGTTGTTGTTGTTGTTAGAACTGACCCACAGCAGTTAATCGAATGGGAGGAGATTGCCCATCCATTTTCCACAAATCAGCCAGTAGATTTGCACGGTGTGCACAGCTTCTTACCACCAGGACATCGGAGCTCCCTAGGTAGTGAATAGGTTCTCTAAAAACACAGTGATGAATGGAATTCCAAAATCTCTGTAGATGTTCATTGAAATGAAAAATAAATAAATTAAAATTTAAAAAAAAACAAACCACAGTGATGAAATAAATATGGACTCCTTCCATGTGTTTAACAAATCCAGACTGGTAAGGATTCTGAGAAATGTCAGGACCAGAGCCTGATGCTAATTTGAGTGTTTACACTTGAAGAAAGTTGTTTTCATAAACACTTTAAGTAAAGATGAAGGTATGCTTTTACACCTACTATCATATTTTCCCTTCTCCAGGAAGTTTCCCTCAGGGTCCCAAAACAATGGTTGAGATACTCATGTACTCTAAAGAAAGACCAAAAAACTCCAAACCCACTATTAACCAAGTTGACATAATGTTTTCATCATCATTTTCTTTGTTTTCTGCTGACTTTAGTAGGCTACAGCAATTTAAAAATTAAACACTATTAAAAATTTAAACATAAATTAAGTACTTAATCCAAAAACACACTAACTCCTTTCACAAACACATTCAACTAAATAAAAACTCCAAGACTGTACAAAATTTTTTTACAACTCGACTGGACTTAACAACAAGAAGATATAAGAAAAACTATCCCTTTAAACTTATCTTTCACTCTGGGAAATCAATGCTTTTTGATCTAAAAAAGGGTAATATAAACAAAGTATTTGTGATGGTATTTTATTTGCAAGCTTTGTTTTACATCTGGAATATTTTTTTAAGTGTGATCTCCATAATAAAGTAGATGGAGCATACTGCATTCATTCTATGCAGTTATGATTTATTGCTCATAGACTTAAATACAAAAAAAAACTCATTCACTTTTTTAAGAACAGTGTACAAACACACACACACACACACACACACATACACACACATACATAGGATGTTTCCACTTTACCATTTTAGTACCCTCCCCACGGCACAGCATTTCATACTTCTGTCTCTCTGGCAGGTAATCCACTGGACCCCCTTTTCTCTTCAGTGTTTTCTGATCAGATTGGTCATCTGAAGTGGACTTATTGGAATCTTTTTCCTTAGCCATTATATACTCAAAATATTTTAAGTTGCCATTAGCTCTCTGATGTTCAGGATCTATTAGAAGAGAAAGGCAACATTCCCGTTGGTTAGTTTACAGTTATTCACATATCAGAATACAGTAATATAAAAATGTCAATGATTAATTGTGACCCTCTATAGGATTTCTGAGGCTCTAAATTGCAAGAGAAGAGATTGTCCATCTTTCTCCTTCAGAGCCGTCTACAGATTCACTCAGTGAGAAACATGCTGCTGCCTTTTAGTTAGCAGTGCATCATGCTATCTACGGGCTATACCAACTGAGATCCTTAATATAAAAAGCTGTTTTTATGTACCATCAAACTGACTCATTGCTGACCATCCAGCAGTTTTCAGAGGCTGTAAACTGCACAGGAGGAGATTGTTCATCTTTCTCTCAGGGAGCATCTGGTGGCTGTAAACTTGGACTGGCAGCACAACTCCTTAACCCTAAGTCATCAGAGCTTCCTAATATAAAAAGAGGACCGTGCAAAACTATCTTCCCTAATCTGATGCTTTTGAGAGTAAAAGTGGACATTAATAAAAGTTCTTAGGGGAGCTCTTGGTGGCCTAGTGGGTAAATATCTGTGCTGTTAAGCTAAAGGTTGACAGTTCCAACTGACCAGCTAGCTACTCTGTGAGATAAAGATAGGCAACTTCACTCAAGTGATTTACAGCCTCTAAAAGCCCCCTGGAAGGTCAGCTATTAGTTTGTTCTAACTAACTAGTACATTAAAATCAATAAAAGATCTCACACCAGAACAAGAGGAACAGACCAATACTGCCTCAAATAAATCAAGACATAGTGTTATTATACATAAAAAGTCTGGAAAAAGATGAAGCCATTAATTTCAAGGTAGCAATTACTGCTTCTACTATGACAACTGAGTCAAAGAAACCATATACTGTTCAAAGTCAGAAAATTTTTTAAAAAAATTTAATCTACATATTGAGCAATGAGAAGGCATTTTCTGAGGCTGAAATGTAATCACCATGTGGAAACAAAGGTATCATCTACAGTTCAAAAGAAGCTTCTCCCACAAAACCAGAACATAGCCCATTTCTCAGGGGAGTGGATTGTAGTCTCAAATTTCTAACTTGAGAAGAAAAAGAGAAACTAAATATATCATTTTCAAAATAAGCCAGAATCCATTAAACACCTCAGAATTGCTAGTCATAATTTTTAGCGACTTTACAAGGGGAAAACTCCACCCATCCGGGAAGGGAGGGAATTCTAAACACACACACATTATAACAACAGTAGAAAAAAGAGACTTCAACTTGAGGTAATAATTAAAAAGTTGAGGAATTCTAGCCTAGATTTATGAACTATTTTTTATCCTTGGGAAACAGCTCATAATATATGTTATCACATACTGTATGCGTGGGAGAAGAATGAGCAGTCTCCTCCGTGCCATCAACTGCCTCTAAATACCCTCTGGAGGGTCAGCTATGAGCTGGTTCAGACTTAAAAGCAAACAAGAAGATATAGTATGTGGTTTAATTTTGTAAAATTATGGGAAGTTTTTGTGTATGTGAATAGGGGACTCTGTAAATAAAAAAAGTTAAAATAAGCTGTTGGTATCTGGTTGACAGGCTTATTGATTAGCCTCTATATATTTTACCTTTTTGTGTTTTTATTTTACAATGAGTACTAGTATGCTTTTTTTTAAAAAAGAGGAAAATTATTTCCAAAAAATGAATAAACCAAGATTGCTTGAAGTCAATCTACTTAAAAACTTTTACTCAAATTATTTTAATTTATTAATTCACCCATCAGTAACTCAATTATCCAAAGAAAAGGGCAACAGACAATAAGAAATTGCTTTAGACATTTTAATTAACTACAATGTTTATTGTTGTGGTTGTTGTTAGTAGACTACAACTTACAGTAACCCTATGAACAACGGATCAGAATCCTGCCCTATCCTGAGTCACCCTTATCACCTCTGATACACTCGAGCCTCTCATTACAGTCACTGTGTAAATACACCTCACTGAGTCTTCCCCTCCTTCGCTGACTTTCCACCTTTCCAAACATGGTTGTCATATCCTATTCTAAGGACTAATTCTCCTGATAACATTCCCAAAATGTTAGACAGTTTCACTATCCTTGCCTCCAAGGGAAACACTGGCTACACCTTTTCTAAGACATTTTTTTCTTTTTAGCAGTTCCTAGGATATTCAGCACTCTTCTCCAATACTATTCAATGGCAGTGTTCTTTTTATTCAACTGTCAACTGCATAGCAAGCAACTGAAAAGATCATGGACATCACTGTTCTTCAGCACTTTGGAGAAGTCTATGACAGCCGACTTTGCCAATACATGAGGTCTTTTGATTTCCTGGCTGCTGGTGCCAAGAGTGTTAATTGTGGATCCAAGCAAGATGAAATTATTTACTATTTTGATCTCATCTCTATATTTATCATGATGTTGCCTAGTGGCCCAGTGGTGAAAATAATTGTTTTCTTGATGAGATGTAACCCATACTGCAGGCTGAATCCTTTACAGCAAGTGCTTCAAGTCTTCTCGCTTTCAGCAAGCAAAGCTGTTTCATCTATGTAACATAGGTTGTTGATGAGTCTTCTTCTGATCCTGACGCCACATTCTTCTTCATAGACTCCAGCTTCTTGAATGATTTGTTCTGCATATAAAATGAACAGGTATGGAGACCGGTAGAGCCTTGACACATGCTTTTCCTAATTTGAAATATGCAGAACTGCCTTGCTCTGTTTAGACAACAGCTTCTTGGTCTAGGTATAAATTTCGTATGAGCTCAAAGAAGTGTTCTGGATTCCCATTCTTTTCAGTGTCAGCCATAATTTGTTACAATCCACACAGTCAAAAATCTTTGCATAGTAAATAAAACCCAAATAGACAGCCTTCTGGTATTCTCTGCTTTCAGCTAAAATCCACTGGACAACAGCTAGGATATCCCTTGTGCCACGACTTCAAAATCTAGCCTGAATTTCTTGTGGATACCTGGTTGATGTGCTGTTTTAGGTATTTTCAAATAATCTTCAACAAGAGTTTACTTGCATGTGATATTAATGATATTATTAAGTTCAACATTCCGTTGGATCATCTTTTTGGGAATGAGAACAAATATGGATCTCTTCCAATTGCTTGGTCAGGTAGCTGTCCTCCAAATTTCCTGACATAACTTGGTGACCACATCTAAGGTTGCATCTGTTAGTTTAAACATATCAACTGGAGCCCATCAATTCCTCAGTCCTTATTTTTTTAACAACTTCTTTCATCACTTTGGTTCTTGATCATATGCTCCTCTCTGAAATAGTTCTGTGTCCACTCATTCCTTTTGGTACAGTGACTGTGTACATACATTACTTCTTTTTTTGATGCTTTCCGAATCATTCAGGATCATCATTCCTGGCATCTTTCAGCTTGAGGCTTGAATTTGTTTTTGTTATTTAAACTTGAGAAATGCCGAGTGAATTCTTCCTTTGTTGTATGCTAGCTCCAGCTTTCTGCCTATTCTTTGGTAATACTTTGCTTTGTCTTCTTGAGTCGTTCTTTGACATCTTCTGCTCATCTCTTTTACTTTGCCAATCTTTGTCCTTGTTTTTTTGGTGATTTTATTTTTTTGTGGTTGGTTTTGGGTTGTTGTTTTTTCTTTCTTTCTCCTTGTTATGGCTTCCTGATGTTCTAGTGCAATTTTCACAATCTCTTCTGACATCCATTTTGGTGTTTTCTTTCTTCCTTGTCTTCATAATGACTTTCTGTTTTCTTCATGGATGACACCCTTGATGTCATCCCAAAACTCATCTGGTCTTCAACTATTAGCTTCAATGCCAATGCCTCAAGCCTATTCTTTTTTTTTAAATTAATTTTTTTAATTGTCATTTTAACAAAATTTACAGAAAAGTTAGATTTCATTCATTGTTGCATTTTACCTCTTCTCCCTCCCTTTCCCTGCCCCAAGCTGACTTTTTCCCACTAGTTTATTTACAAAATTCTAATACAAATTCAAATTCTTTCAATTTCCCTCAACCCCCCCCCATCAAAATGTACAATCCAATGATTAATTCCCTCTTCCCCCTATACATCCACATCCCTCTGCTTCCAGCCTCTCCCACCCCTCCTGGATCCTTAAACTCCTTCTACAATAACAAATAACAAATAAATAAATAACAATATTTATCCTTGTGGGACTGAGTTAGTTCACTCAGCATAATGCTCTCCAGTCCCTCACAAGTTAGGTAATAATTTATAAAGTTATTGCTCCTGTGTTGCTGCATAGTATTCCATGGTGTGAATGTACCATAATTTCTCAATCCATTCGTTTGTGGCTGGATATTTGGGCTGTTTCTATGTTCTTGTGATGGTGAATGCTGCTATGAACTTTGGTGTACAAATCTCAGTTTGTGCCTCAGTTCTCATATTCTCAGGGTATATTCCAAGTAGTGGAATGGCTAGGTCATATGTAATTTCTATGTTCAGCTTTTTGAGGAAGCGCCAAACTGCCTTCCAGAATGGTTAACACCATTTTACAACCCATCAACAATGTATAAGAGTTCCTTTCTTGCCATACCCTCTCCAACACCTATTACTTGCTTCCCTTTTAAACTTTGCCATTCTTTTCAAACCTATCCTTGAGATGATTTTTAAATTCAGGTGGGTAAACTCAATGTTGTATTTTGGTTCTTGTGGACTTGTTTTCCTCTTCAACTTCAACTTGAAATGGTAGATGATTAAATGATAGTCTGTTCCACTCAGCACTTGATCTGGTTTTGAATGCCGATATTGAGCTTCTCCAATAATTCTATGCACAGATATATAATCAGTCTGGTTCCTCTACAATCCATCAGGTGAGGTATATGCATAAAGTCACTATTTGTGTGGTTGGTTTTATTTTTTTAAAGAAAAGGCAATTTCAATTAATAAATAATTGATTGTACAAAATTTAATCATTCTGTTTGTAGTCTCATTTCTCTCACCAGGTCTGTAATTTCTAACTATCAGTCCTTTTTCTTTGTTTCCAACTTTCGCATTCTGTTGTTCTTTTTAATTTTTTCAATAGAACAAATTGCATGAATTTATTAAACATGCACCATTTTTTATTTAGCTGACTTTATGCTTGTACCTTCAGTACTTTCACAACAATTTCTGCTCCTCAATAAGGAAAGCACGCTTGATCCTGTCACGGACACACTTAGCACACATGGAACCACCATAAGCTCTGCTGACATGTTTTTTTTTGTTTTTGACAACCTCGTGAGAACTTTAGATCTCACAGCACAGACCCCTCTTAGTCGGCCCGGGCACAAACGACACGCAGATTTTGGTGCCTTTCCAACCTTCTTGGTATAAAGGTAAACAATTCTGTTACCAGAGGTTCGGGACAGCCTCGTTTTGTTAGAGGCTGTGTTGTAGGACAGACTATGACGGTAGGTCAGACGCTACACTATTTTGAATGCATCTATACAGTGTCTCCAGAAGAGCCTTTTTAATTTTTTTAAATGGTATTTTAACAAAAGTTTACAGAAAACTTGGATTTTCATTCATTCATTGTTGAACCTTTTCCTCCCTACCCCCCTACAGGTCGCTTTTCTCTTTAAAAAGATTCTTTCATTGTTGCACAATTTCCTCCCTCCCTCCCACCCACCCTCCAGTCCACTCTGCTATGTAGCTCTTATTCTGGAATGTTGTCATGCAAATAATACCTAACCATATATTTCTTTTAGACAGTTCTTTCCCTCATCTGTTTCAATGTAGTGTTAATAATTTATCCCCTCTTTACTTAGTTTCCTCCCAACCCCCATGTCAGTCTTGTTTAATAACAGTGGCATTATGCTGTATTTTTCCTTTTGTGATTGAGATATTTCACTCAGCAAAATGTCCTCCAGGGTGAGTCATTCTGTATAATATTTTATGAGTTCCTTGCTTTTCAGTGCTGTGTAGTATTGCATTGTGTGAATATACCACAGCTTCTCTACCCATTCATATGTTGATGGGCACTTGGGTTACTTCCATCTCTTTGCTATTGTGAACAACATAGCAATAAACGTAGGTGTGCATATACCTGTTTGAGTGGCCGTTCTTATTTCTATATTCCCAGTAGTGCAATTGCTGGGTCAAATGGTATTTCTATTTTCAATTTTTTTGGAAAGCACCATATTGCCTTCCATAGTGGCTGCACCATTTTACACTCCCACCAACAGTGAATAAGGGTTCCAATTTTTCCATAGCCTCACTATCATTTGTTGTTTGCTGCTCTGTTGAACTTCACTGTTGTTACTGGGATGAGATGATATCTCACAGTAGTTTTGATTTATATCTCAGAGCTGGGGATTTTGAACATATCTTCATATGTGTGTTTGCCATTTGAAGTTTTCTTTAGTGAAGTGCCCATATCCTCTGCCCACTTTGTGACTGGGTTGTTTTCTTTCATCTTTCTGAGTTCATCCTGTTGTTCTTGTGTCCATCAAGTCAGAACATAGTTCACCCTCCCTCAAATTTTCAGAGGCAATTTAAAAACATGGGAGGAGATTGCTCATCTTTCTCTCATGGAGCAACTAGTAGATTTGAACAGCATGCCTTTGGGATGGCAGCACTGCTCCTTACCTCTAAGCCACCAGAGCATTCTAGTCACCAGTTATTATTATTATCATTATTAATGAATCCTGATTGTATATTTGGTCAATTTCCTACTTTTAAAGTTGGCAGAAATTCTCAATTTCCTCCTCTCTGGTTTAGCTGTTGGTACATACATTTGAATAATAGTTGTATTAATGGACTACTTTAACAAACAATATGTCTATGAATGACAGTATGGGGAAAAAAACCAATGATTTGTAAACTTTCACTCAAATGAAAATTAAATTAATTAAAAAATTTTTAAAAAGAGAAAATCAATTGATGTGGAAATACAGTCATAATAATATTACATATAAATAGCTAAACAGAAAAGATTCATTTAAGTATGACACTATTATTTAAGTGACATATTTTTTAAAAGGTGTATATACATATATTATACACAGATTACAGAGCTAGAAACCAGCTATTGAGCTATTGTTGTTGTTGTTGTGTACAGTTGAGTCAGAATCAACAGACAGTCGACGCTGTGAAGGTTTTCTAAGACAGTTAATTACACAGGAGGAGATGACCCATCCTTCTCCCATGGGGCTGCTGGTGGCCTCAAACCGTGAGCCTTGCAGTACACTTTCTTGCCACTAGGCCACCGCTATACACAATTTATAGTTCAGTAGTGGGTGAATACTTCTCTTTTGCAACTCTGTCCTTTTTAAATATTTTACACTAAACTATATTTATTTTATAATGAAAAGTAGTCCAATTATAAACATTTCCTTTTTTCAGATTACCAGTCTTTTTAATTGTTTAACTCTTCTAACACATTATTTTTTAACACATATTAAAGCTTTCTTACACACAAATTCAAATTTATTGCCATGGAGCCAGAACCAATATACAGCTGAACCGCCTGTGGGTTTTCAGAGCCTTTAACTGTATGGGAGGATATTACCCATCTTTCTCCTGAGGAGCTAATGATAAATTCGAACCATCAGCCTCTGTGTTGGCAGCACAATTACTTTAAGTCACCAGTGCTCCTTTATTATATACTGAATTCCAGATCCATCTTCAAAGATTCCAATATACTAGATCTAGAGTGGAAACCAATTAACTTTTCATTTTTAACAAGAACCCTACTTGGAGAAACTGTATAGCTCTGTTCAAAATACTAGTAATAAGGTTATCATAAAATATTTATTTCAAATAAGTTTACAATAATTTGCAAAAACACTTCATTTCCAAAGAGTAAATGCTCTAAACCTGAAACATCCTTCAAAGAAAACTGGTTAAAACTGACTGGCAACATGTAAATAAACTTTTTCTTTTTTTTTAGTAAGTTATATATAGATCAATTTTGGAATTCCTGAAGAATCCCAGGTGAGTGAAAAAACAGGAATTTTTTATAAACTGTTATACTTTCTTTCTCTCACCAGGTGAGAAAAATCAGTTGCCATGGATTTTGAAGATAAACAGGAAAAAGACACGTGTCAAGAACAAGGTTCTTGAGTGCTAGCAAATTAAAAACATCAAATTACATGGTTATATGTACAGTCAATCCACATTACTAACAAACTTGGAATTGACAGAATTGATCTACTGAAAATTTTATTTGCAGTTCCATAATCAGTAACCGGAGCAATCCTGCAGCCATTCACAGACATGTGTGGAACAGCAAAAAGTTTATGTTCCTGACCTACACATTCCCAAGTGAATCTGAATAAAGAGGTGTCTGCCTTCCTGTTCCAAACTATAAACAAAAATACCCTATATGTAGTCGCTATTTTTTTTTCTTTTGCGATTTTATTATTTAACATTGTCCCTAAGTATAGGTGCTACTTAATGTTCCTAGGCACAAGAAAGAGGTGATATATCTCTGAAAACTTGTATTGGGTAAGCTTCATTCAAGCATGAGTTATTGTTACTGTTAATAAAACAGTAATATATGTTAAACAAGGCATCTTTAAGTGGAAGCACAGATCAAGGCTATGAACTGATTATTGTTGTTGTTATTATTATGTGCCATCGAATCACCTGCAACTTACAGCGACCCTATGCACAACAGCCTTAAACCCTGCTTTGTCCCATGGCAATCTTATTGTCTCCAACACACCTATCGCCATTACCCTAGTCACTGAATCAATCCACCTCATCGAGGGTCTTCCTCTCCTGCGCTGTCCCTCCACCCTACCAAGCATGATGTCCCTCTCCAAGAACTGATCCTGCTTTGTAAAATGTCCAAAGTATGTTAGATGAAGCCCCAGAATCCTTGCCTCCAAGGAACAGCCCGGCTTCACCCTCTCCAGGACGAACTTGTTTGTTCTCCTAGCAGTCCATGAACTGATTAGCTAATAAAAATATTTCATACTTGTTACCTCAGCATTCTTGGAAACTTTATATAGAGCATATCTGTCACAAATAACAAGAGCAGGCTGTACACACACATACTCCAAAACATCTTTACACCTGATTGAGGCCCATTTAACATACCTAGTTCAAGAAGTTGCTTTGTGAGCAAAAGTGCCTTATCCAGGTCTCCTTGTTGGTAGACTGCATAGCTTAGATAATCTAGAACAGAGACTTTATCGATAGGAGAAACCTCGCCTTCATCCAGTTGCCTCAGTGCTTGTCCCATCCACAGCTCAGTGTGATAATAGTCTGCTTCTGTATAGGCCACTTTGCCCAATTCAAAGCAGTCATCAACTGTTAGAAAAGATCGGTGTTTTACTCCTAAAAAAGAAGTAAGGAGAACTTCAGGAATCTTTAATATCATTGCATATTTACCTATGACTGTATTTATTTAAGGTTTCAAAGGGGTATTCATTTTCATCTGAACTTCATGAAAACAGTGATTTTAAGAATAAAACAACAATCTACAAAGTAATGTAATATTATAGGAATCACACAGTTGATACTAGAGATGCAGAACCTAGAGAAGGACTTAAAGATTTTTACATTATCAGCCATCTTATCACGACAAAACATGGATTATCCTTGTTACTTGATACTTCATTTCTAACCAACAATCTGGACAAGAGAAGCACACACAGGAAGAGAGACAAACCTGTCAACTGGTTTCTTTCCTTTGAACACTATTAAAGATACTGCTAAACACTATAAAGTTACTCATTTAGGGTAGACTGAGTTTTAGCATATTAGAAAACTGTATAATCACAACGTAATTCCAGAACATTTCAATCTCTCCTAAAAGAAATCTTGTAACATTATTAGTAACTCTCCATCAGTCCCCCATTCTAATCTATTGTCTCCTCTACTAATTTGGTTTCTTCCTGGATATTTTAGAAAATGAAATCATACAGTATGGTGTTTTGTGACGAGTTTCTTCCATTCAGTCTAGTATTTTCAAGTTCATTCATGATGTAATCTTTTTAGTGAAAAAAAAAATTCTATTGTGCAGATATATTACATTTTGTTTATAAATATATGGTCATTTTAATCTATTTTTATTATGAATAATGACGTAGACGTATGTTTTCATTTCTCTTGAATATAAACCTAAAGTATATACTCAAAATATTCCAGGTGCTAATTGTGGAACAGACCATCAATTACTCATATGCAAGTTCAAACTAAAGCTGAAGAAGGTTAAAACAAATCCACAGGAAGCAAAATTTGACCATGAGTCTGTCTCACCTAAATTTAAAAACCATCTCAGGAAAAGATTTGAGGCCTTAAACACTAACGAACAAAGATCAGAGGAACTGTGGGGAGACAGCAGGAATATCTTCCATCTCTAAAGACTGTAACTGTCATCCAAACAGATAAATGCACACTCATGTTTATTTCTGTGTTATTTGTAATAGCAAAGAGATGGAAGCAACCCAAGAGCCCATCAACAAACAAATGGATAGAAAAACAATGGTATAGTAATATAATGGAATGCTACGCAGCACTGAAAAACAATTAACTCATAAAACATTACACAATATGGAGGATCCTGGAGGACCTCATCCTGAGTGAAAACAGCTCAGTCACAAAATAACAAATAATGCATATCACCAGTGTTATAAAGCAGGGAAGTTGGGAGGAGAATAAAATAAAAGTGGATAGATAATGGTCATCGCATTGGAACAGATGAAGAAAAGAACTGTCTAAAATAAATGTATGATGAGGCATTATACATATGACAATAGCCCCGAAGAAGAGGTATATCATTGCAAAGAGGATTGGGTGGTTGGGGGGAAGTAAGTAATTGTGAATAATGAATGAATATTTTTTTAAAAAGTGAACTGGGGAGAAGCAAGGAAGGGAAAGGGGGTAAAACATGCTAACAATGAATGAATGGAAATCTAACTTCTCTATAAATGTTCGTTAAAAATCATAATTTCAAAACAAATTATTTAAAAAATAGTATCATCCATGAAGAATGCAAAAGGTCATTACAAAGACAGAAGAGGAAGAAAAGATAGAGAAGGATTTCAGAAGAGACTCTAAATATTGCACTAGACTACTAAGAAATCAAAGCAAAGGGCAGAAAGCAGAAAGTTAAGGAACTGAACAGACGATTTCAAAGGGCAGCATGGAAGACAAGAGAAAGTATTACAATGAAAAATGCAAAGAGCTGGAGTCAGAAAATCAAAAGGGCCAAACTTGTTTGACATTTCTTAAGGTGAAGAAACAAAACAACAAATTCAAGTCTCGAGTTGCAATACTTAAGGATGCTACGGTACTAGCAGCCAGTAAATTAAAAGAGGAATTACACTGGGACAGTCTACCGTCAGAGACCTCTTGAAAGTACTAAAGAGCAATGATGTTAGTCTAGAGTCTAAGGTGAACCTGATCCAGGTCATAGTCTTTGCAATTACTTGCCATGCATTAGAGAGTTGGACAGTTAACTAAGAATGACAGAAGGAGACACGATGCCTTTGACCTGTGGTGTTGGAGAAGAGTATTGAATATACCATGGACTGCTAAGAAAACAAACAGGTTTGTCCTAGAGAGGGTGAAATAGGATGCTCCTTAGAGGCAAGGATTCGCAAGCTTCATCTGACCTGCTTTGGACATGTTGCAAGGAGGGACCAGTCTTGGAGGGGGTCATCATGCTTGGGAGGGTAGAGGGGTAGCTCAAGAGAGAAAGACTCTTTTGATTGATTCAGTGACTGGTGTAATGGGAGTAGGTGTGTCGGAGGCAACAAAACTGATCAGGGTTTAGGGCTGTTGTGCACAGGGTTGCTATGAGTCACAGGTGACTCGACATAACAACAACATAGGAAGAATATTGAATTATCTAGGAAGCATTAAAAGAAGATGGGGAGGAAAGGTGGTGGCAGCGGTGCGACAGGATTTGGCTCAGCTCATGAATTCAAGCGGCTCTCATAAAGATCTGGCGGGCAAATATCGTCAGATCCTGGTAAAAGCCATTCAGTTATCTGGGACAGAACAACTTGAAGCTTTGAAAGCCTTTGTGGAAGCAATGGTAAATGAGAATGTCAGCCTCGTGATTTCTCGACAGTTGCTGACTGACTTCTGCACACATCTGCCTAACCTGCCTGACAGCACAGCCAAAGAAATCTATCATTTCACCTTGGAGAAGATCCAACCTAGAGTAATCTCATTTGAGGAGCAGGTTGCTTCAATAAGACAGCATCTTGCATCCATATATGAGAAAGAAGACTGGAGAAATGCAGCCCAAGTGTTGGTGGGAATTCCTTTGGAAACAGGACAAAAACAGTACAATGTAGATTATAAACTGGAGACTTATCTGAAGATTGCTAGGTTGTATCTGGAGGATGATGATCCAGTCCAGGCAGAAGCTTATATAAATCGAGCATCGTTGCTTCAGAATGAGTCAACAAATGAACAATTACAAATACATTATAAGGTATGCTATGCACGTGTTCTTGACTACAGAAGAAAATTCATTGAAGCTGCACAAAGGTACAATGAACTCTCTTACAAGACAATAGTTCATGAAAGTGAAAGACTAGAGGCCTTAAAACATGCTTTGCACTGTACCATATCAGCATCAGCAGGACAGCAGCGTTCTCGAATGCTTGCTACTCTTTTTAAAGATGAAAGGTGCCAGCAACTTGCTGCTTATGGGATCCTAGAGAAAATGTACCTAGATAGGATCATCAGAGGAAATCAACTTCAGGAATTTGCTGCCATGCTGATGCCTCACCAAAAAGCTACTACAGCAGATGTTTCCAGCATCTTGGATAGAGCGGTTATTGAACACAATTTGTTGTCTGCAAGCAAGTTATATAACAATATTACCTTTGAAGAACTTGGAGCCCTTTTAGAGATACCTGCAGCTAAGGCAGAAAAAATAGCATCACAAATGATAACAGAAGGACGTATGAATGGATTTATTGATCAGATTGATGGAATAGTTCATTATGAAACACGAGAAGCCTTGCCAACGTGGGACAAACAGATTCAATCACTTTGTTTCCAAGTGAATAACCTTTTGGAGAAAATCAGTCAGGCAGCGCCAGAATGGACTGCACAAGCCATGGAGGCCCAGATGGCTCAGTGAGCCCTTTCAAAGCTCTGTGCACACTACGTCTTTTTCCATGTTGTACAGATCAATTTCACTTGTCTCTGGAGCATTTGCATCATGACCTTACACATTTCAATCCCTTTTATGCTGGATTCAACTTTCGGACATTAGGGCAGAAAATGCAAGCATTTAAAACTATGTAGTTTCCATATATTTAGAGTCTCTGAGTATCAGGCTCACTCAGATGTTTTGAAAGCTTTTTCTTTAAATGGAGTAAGTGAAATATCTGTGACTAAAAAAGTGTGGAATTTGTGGTAACTTTGTAGTCATGTAAAGCTTAAGTGCTTTGTGTCTCTCCAAATGTGGTTATTCTAATAAATGGAGAAATGAGAAAAAAAAAAAAAAAGATGGAAGGAGTATACAGAGTCACTAAATCAAAAAGAATTGGATGATACAGAATTTTAAGAAAATATGATCAAGATGCAACGGTGGTGCAAGAGAAAGTATAGGCTGCTCTGAAGGACCTGGCAAAAAACAAAGTCCCAGGAATTGACAGAATACCAAATGACATAATTCAAAAAAGAGATGCCACCCTAAATGTGCTTCCCAGATTGTGCCAAGAAATCTGGAGGACAACTACCTGGCCAACTGACTGGAAGTGATCCATACTTATTCCCATTCCAAAAAAGGTAACCCCAACAGAGTGTAGAAATTATCAGTCTCACTAAGATCACACATAAGCAAAATCCTAATGACGATTATAAAAAAAAAAAAACAAACTGGAACAGAGAACTACTAGAAATAAAAGCTAGGTTTAGAAGAGGTTGTGGCACTTAAGAGACTTGATCATGAAATCAGATGGATGTTGACAGAAAGCAAAGAGTACCAGAGGATTGTCTGTGTATCATTGATTATACAAAGTCATTTGACTGTGTGGATCATAACAAATTGTGGCTAACCCTGAGAAGAATGGGAAATCCAGAACAATGTTTTTACAAAACTCGGACAATCACTGTATGATTAAAAATCAGGAAAGGAGTACTTCTGGGATGCACCTTGTCTCAATACTTTTTCAATCTATATGCAGACTAGATTATTAGAGAGGACTAGTTTTATGAGGAGGATTGTGGCATCAGGATTGGAGAAAAATTTGTGAACAACCTGTGATATGCAGATAACACAACCTTGCTTGCTGAAACTGAGGAGACCCTAAAGCACTTGCTGCAGAAAGTCAAGGACTATTGTCTTCAATATGGATTAAAGCTCA